TTTATGCACATAAATGTATATAACGATTAGATAGACAAAGAAAAAGAAATATATATATATATATATTATATATATATATAACATTATAAACAGTACAAATAAACATTAATTATATACATTTATTTGTTTATACACATACATGGATATAATGAATAAATTAACAGATACAGAAAGCTGAAGAAAAAAAAAGAGAAAGATAGTGAGTATGAGTTCTCTAGCCTCTTTACATTATAAATATATATCATAAAGCAATATATATGTATATATACATACACACATACATGTATACATACATAATAATATATTGCTTGTCGACGTTTATAAAAAGGCTCACTCGTTCGCTCTCTTTCTATTTATTTCTTTTTTCTTCTATTCTTTTTTTTTTGTCTATCTAATCGTTATATACTTATTTGCATAATAAATAGGTATGTAATATTTTGTGTATTGTGCTGTATGTAACAGTATATATGTATGCTGTATGTATTATATATATATAATATATATATATATATATATATATATATATATATATTATAATAGTGCGCATGATATTTGAGACGTTTCTGATAATTAAAAAATTTATATTGTACAAATGAATTTGTTTCAAAGCTATTACGTAACAGAAAAATTAAAAAAAAATGTTTTCATGAAAAAATGAATGTCATAATTTTTTTTTAATAAAAGCATCATATTCAATCTAAATCAATTTGTTACAATATTCTGCATCAAAATTTATAAAGATAAAATTGTGAAAAAGTGAAAAGTTTACGAGATATTTGAGTTTAGAGAAAATATGTAGCTGCTGGTTTACATTTATATCTTTATTTATATCTGTGTTTTCTTTACACCAATTGATTTAAAATTGGAATAAAATAATCAGAAAATGATTTTATGAGATATTTCATAGTTTATGTACATTATGAAAGTATAATATCTCATAAGCTATTCGCTTTTTTGGCCATCCTACATTTACAACTTATGCAGAATATTGAGAATCGATTTATATAAAAAAATAATATAATTAAAAAAAATTCAAGGTAACATTAATTTTTTTTATAAAAAATTTTTTTCCTTATTTTTTATTGCTTGTAATAGATTGCACAAAACAGATCAATTTTTACAATATAATATTTTTTCTAAACTGTTGCAAACATTTCAAAAATCGTACGTATTGTTATGCTGAACATTGTATTAATATATATTATATATTATATATATATTGATATATATAGTTGGTGTAAAGAAAACACATATTTACCTTTAAAAAAATATGAAAATTGCAATAAGCAGTTAGATAATTTTTCTTTGAGACAACTATGTGTTTTCTTTACACCAATTGATTCGTCTCATTATTCTGTGCATAAAAGTAATAAGGTATGATAATCGAAAAATGAATATTTCCCAAGATATTTTGTATTTATGTCAAAATACTGCAAATTTGCAGCTTTATAACTCGAAAAATACTTAATGAAAAAATATTTTATTGTAGTGTTTTGGAAAGATCTTGAAGTCAGCTATAAAGTATGCAAGAAAAAATATAGTGTTCCATTTAAGAAATTGAAGTTGACCGTCACGTACCTTCAAATGGCTATTCAAGGTCAAATCAATGACACCATCTCATGTCCTCCTTGAAACCATACAACTTTTATCTGAAACATTTTTGTCTTAAACTTTTGAATTTTGAGAAATTTTAGTGCAAAGATTAAAATGGCTTACCCTGTATATAAATATATATATATATATATATATATATATATATTTGTATATATGTATGTATGTAGGTGTAATTTTATAAGAACATTCAAATAGACGTTTAAAATGCAATTTTTATTTTTATTTTTAATTTTTATTTTTATTTTTTTTTATTAAAATGCAATTCTCAATTTTTTTTATCTGAAAGATAATGCAATCCTTTGTTTATTTTTTCATGTATAATTGATAATTATTATTATAGTTTTTTATAGTAGTTAGTGCCAGAGGCGGTCTATTCGTGTGCTGGTTTAAAAAATAATTCCAGAGGCGATCTATTCGTGTGCTGGTTGTTTTAAAAAATAATTCCAGAGGCGATCTATTCGTGTGCTGGTTGTTTTAAAAAATAATTCCAGAGGCGATCTATTCGTGTGCTGGTTGTTTTAAAAAATAATTCCACAGGCGATCTATTCGTTTGCTGATAACTGTACAAAATATTTTACCCCAGATGCAGTTTGCATGTGCGCAAAATTCTCAGAAGCGATATTGCAATGTTGAAACTTTATAACTTATCATGTGATAGTGACTTTCACGTAATCTTTATGACTGTGCAAGGTCAACACTAATGGTACTATTTTATAGTTCCTTTAAAACCGTACAACTTTTGTTGTTTTATTATAAATGCATTGAAACAAAGAGATATTAGGGGTAGTAAAAAGGGACACCTTGTATAAATACACACACGCATACATATGTGTATATGTATGTGTAACAACCTGTGTATATATAATTTTTTATATAATTATAAATTATATAAAATGGGACACCCTGTATATGTATTTGTGTGTCGATTGACAACTTTTTTATTGCGACATCTGTCGAGTTTTGTCGATAATTATATTTAAAAAATCTTCATTATCGACCCTATCGGAGTTCGCCCGTGCATTTAGGATCCCCTTAAAGGGGTATTGAAATTAAATCTCAAATATGAGATTATTTCATATTTAAAATCTTGGCCGTGTCCAAGTAAATTTGGTGCCTTGTGCACCGGTATTTAATTCTAACGGAAAATTATTTAGTTTCGTTAGGATAACGCATTGTCATCCGCGATTTGGCTCTTATTGCCCGTCTTATACGTAAATTTATATTTATATTACAGAGCCTTGTTAAACTCTTAAATTTAACAAATATTATTTTGATAAATTCCTTAGTTAATTGGAATTGGTTCAATAAACGAAATCTCTTTCAATACATCCTTCTAAATTGTACCCTTATATTAAATTGATAACCATTTTCCTACTATTCCATAACGTATTATAAATGAAAACATTAAAACAGAAGATCGCACGTCGGAATAAAAGTAAACATAGAGCTGGGAAAAGGGTTTGTGCTAAGCGTGCCGCATCTACTCTACGTTGTGTCGGGCGACGGTCAACAGATAATAAACCTCGCGTCAAATCGTGTGAAAAAGTTATCTTTTCTCCGGAAACTATAAAAAGATTGAAGACTTCATCTATTCAGCTAAATCTTGACAATAAGCTCGTAGCGAACAAAGAAACTCCCCCTTATATTGAGACCGAACCCTCGATCAACCAACCTCTTAATTCCTTTGAATTCTCGACTCCAGAACTACCAAGTTCAATTGATTCTTTAATAGAAGAAGCACTTAATTATTTTGATCTCAGAACTAACTTCCCAGAGTTATCACCAATCTCAGACAAAGGAATTTCCCTTGACTCCAGGATAGAATCCTTGCCAGACAAACCATCTAATAAATTTAGCCCAGAAACCGATTCTTCAGAGCAGTTAGTAATCACGGAATTATACGAATTAGTATCGCAAGTAGAAAGAAATAATTCCCCGGAACAATTTTATTCTACAGACGAAGTACAAACAATAAAAGACCAATTCTCAGAACAGTTATTAATTGCAGAACTGATTTAGTATCACAAATAGAAGAAAATACTTCTCAGAAACAAACTCATCGTAAGAACTTGATATAATCATTAAAAGATCAGTGTCCAGACAACTTATTAGAAATCGATCAATATGCTAATTATTTAGATATTTAACTATTCTCCTATTATTTACCTAAATACAATAGACGGGATCCAGCGGTAAATTAACAAAGATATTAATACGACATTAATGCAATCTCCATCAGTACATTTTCCTTATTATATCTCCTTGACAATATCCCCTTATTAAATTAGATATTTCACTACCATTCTATATCTTATAAAGACGCGAAATCAGAAAATCAAGTATCGAAAGAAATACAATCATAGAGCAGGTAAAAGGCTCGTGCTAGCCGCGCCGCATTTACCTTACGTTGGCTTCAGCGACAAAACCCTTGTTATGTTTGCGCGAACGCGAGAAGGAGAGCGCGTATTAGAAGGCCGATAGAAATCATTCACTCTTTAATAATTAACACAGAATTTACTTTCACAATTTAACGATACAGTAATTTTACAAAGTTCCAATAGATAAGCCGAGATCGATTTCCAAGTGAGTGTGCGGTAATAATTGCGGTAATAATTGCGGTAATTTATAAGCGGTTTAATAGCGGTTGTACGTACTGAGACTCGAGAGACTAGCCGCCCAATTTTGGTGGGCGCTTCTTTTATCGGTGCGGTACTGAAGCCCCACTAATTTTTACTTCACCAATTAATTTCGGTTATTTAAAAATGTTCGAAGGTGACGCGAGGGCGCCTGTCTTTATTGGAGGCCCCGTAATTTACGCGAAACAAGCACGCACCTGACATGCGCGAAATGCTCGATAGCGAGATCGATTGGCTTTCGGAAGCCACGTGATCGAACGGCGCATGTCTATTACATTGATAATCAATGCGGTGATCGTTGCTTTCGGTTAAGCAATGTTGTTGTTATTGACAGCTTGTTAAAATAATCCTGATTTATCGCCTACTTGTTTATATCGGGCGAGCCTTTTTTCCGCGGTTTTTTCGCATATTCATCGGAAGAAAATATCGATTTTTAGACAGAAAAATACAGACTGAAATAATTATATTAATTTCTTCTCAATTTCGAACATCCCGCCCGCCTTGTCACCCGCTGACAATAAGACGCTATGAATGTTCGATCGCGATTGATAGTGGGGTAGGCGCGCGCCGGCGCGGCGAGATACACGTGATTATCGCGTGGAATGTCGCTCGATCAGCTGAAACGATGAACACGTGTTGACAGTGTGGTGCGATCAGCTGAGAATAGTGACACGCGGTTTCGATGTGAAATAATGCGTGTGAATGTGAACAGTGGTTACAGTGCGTATGTGATGTGTCGTGTATTTCTGTCTATGCGTTGCGTGTCGTTACGTCCGTTGTGAAGTCGGGAAGTAAGACGATTTTTACGAGCGGACGCACGAGCTCGGAGGTCGCGGTTCGAACGGTGACCACGCGTACGATCCCGTCGTCGCCGGGATGCAGTTTTGTGATCCGGGCGAGAGGCCATCGGTTTGGAGGCGAAATCTCGGAGCGCACAAGGCAGAGTGCTCCGATGTGAGGTGTGGTATCGACCTTCAACCATTTAGGTCGTGAGATGAGTCCATGGATGTACTCTCCCGACCATCTTTGCCAAAAGTGATCTCGCATCGCCTGGAGATGATGCCATCGTGATGCTGCGGATCCACTGGTGTCCTCCTGTACTGGCTCCGGGATGGCGAGAAGCGGCGCGCCGATCAGGAAGTGGCCCGGAGTCAGTGCTGTAATATCGTCTGGATCGTCAGAGAGTGCCTGTAATGGACGAGAATTTAAACAGGCCTCAATTTGTGTGAGGAGAGTGGTCAGTTCCTCAAAGGTGAGAGTGGTTTCACCTATCACCCTCCGCAAGTGATACTTAGCGGATTTGACGGCTGCCTCCCACAATCCGCCGAAGTGCGGAGCTGCTGGTGGATTAAAGTGCCACCGTATGCCATGTTCAGCAGCTACGCGTGCGATTCCACGACCCTCTGTGGATGCAGCGACGAAGAGTTCCCGTAAAGTGCGGTCAGCCCCGATGAAGGTCGTTCCACAGTCGCTATATATGTCCGTACAGAGACCTCGACGTGAGACAAAGCGACGTAAAGCGGCGATGAAGGCCTCTGAAGAGTAATCCGAGACAAGTTCGAGGTGGATGGCTCTGGACCAAAAACAGATGAATACTGCGATATAGCCCTTATAGGCGCGGTGTCCTCGTCCCTTGCTCGTTCGGATGAGGATGGGTCCTGCATAGTCCACTCCGGTGCGCAGAAATGGCCGAGTCGGAGTGACCCGATCGCGGGGTAGATTACCCATCGGTGGCTGCAGCGTCGTTGCTCGCCATCTTGTGCAGGTGATGCAGCGATGTAGTTGCTGTTTCACAACTGTGCGTCCTCGTGGAATCCAGAAGCGCAGTCGAAGCAGCCCCAGAGTAAGTTGCACTCCGCCATGCAGCGTCCGACGGTGACAGGATTCCACCAGCAGACGAGTCAGCCACGACGAGGTTGGAATGATCATCGGGTGCCTCTCATCTTGTGTCAGCAGGGCGTGCTTAAGCCGACCTCCCACTCTCAGAACACCATGGTCGTCGAGGAACGGAGTCAGCTTGACTAATGTGCTGCGTGGTGCGACGGAGCGTCCAGCTGCGACTGCGGTGATCTCGTCCGTGAAGTGCAGTGTCTGCACTTCTCGAAGCCAGCGAAAGAGTGCCATGTCGAGTTCCTCAGGACTCAACGTTAGTCCAGCGGTGTGAGTCGGCTCAGAAGCGCGCAGCCAGCGACGGCACCATGCGGATATCCGTAGCAGGCGATGCAGAGATGAGAAGCGGAGCAGGATTTCTGGCTCGACGATGACCCGGTTGACAGTCATCAGGCTCGTGGCTTTCCTTTCTGGCACGTCGTCTCCTCGGATCTCCATCACGGAATTTGGCCAGGCCGATTCGTGCTGTGACAACCAGGTAGGTCCTGTCCACCATAAAGCGTGATTGATTAGTTCGCTTGGATTAATACCCCTTGATGCACAGTCCGCAGGGTTGTCGCGACCAGCTACGTGTCTCCATTGTGCATTAGGCAGCTGCGTCTGGATGTGAGCGACTCGATTGGCGACGAAAGTCTTCCAGCGTGAGGAGTGACCGCGAATCCATTGGAGGGTCACTGTTGAATCTGACCATAAGTACGTGTCTGATGTTGCCAGGTCGAGCGTTTGTTTGACATGTCGCGTCAAATTGGTGAGTAGCGTGGCGGCGCACAACTCCAGCCTCGGCAAGGTCACTTGTTTGACGGGTGCTACCTTGCTTTTGGCCATCAATAACCTTACTGACGTTTCGTCCCTTTCAGTGATGCGGATGTATACTGCGGCTGCATATCCTCGTTCGGATGCATCGGCGAAGCCATGAAGCTGCAGCGAGGCCTTATCTGCTCCGGTCCCGAGCCAGCGTTTTATTCGCACCTGATCTAGAAGATGGAGTTCTTCTAGAAGACGTTGCCACTCTCGAGCGTCGGATGGCGGCAGCGGGGTGTCCCAGTCCAATCCTTGCAGCCACGTGGATTGAATGAGAATTTTTGCTCGAATCACGACTGGAGCGAGCCACCCCATTGGATCGAAGAGCCGTGCGGTTTCGGATAAAACCGTTCTCTTCGTGTGGTTGATGGCAGCGTGCGGATGAAACACGAAAGAGAACTGGTCGTGTTGCGGGTGCCAGCGGAGTCCTAGCGTGGAGTGACTCTCTCCTTCCCAAGCTGGCGGCAATTGCTGCAAACGATGATCGCTTGGTACTCCAGTCAGGATCCTCTCGTCGTTGGCTGCCCACTTCTTCAACGGAAATCCGCCCGCCAAGCAGAGGTTGCGAATTTCCATCTGGAGTGCGATCGCATCGTTCAGCGTATTTGAGCCGGTGACCACATCGTCGACATAACAATCTCGACGCAGAGCTACGGCGCCACGAGGAAACTGCTCTTCTTCGTCCGTTGCGAGCTGACGGAGTGTCCGTATGGCGAGAAACGGAGCACACGCCAGACCGTAGGTGACCGTTCTCAGCTGGTACTCTCGCACTTCATCATCAGTTGAATGACGCCACAGGATCGTTTGGAATCTGCAGTCATCCGGATGCACGAGTATCTGCCGATACATTTTCTCTATATCAGCAACGAAGACATACTGGTGTTGACGCCATCGGAGTAGTACGTCAGGAAGAGCTGGCAGAAGATTTGCTCCAGTCATGAGGTGTGCGTTTAAAGAGTCTCCAGTTCGCGTTCGCTGCGACCCATTGAACACGACCCTCAGCTTCGTCGTGGCACTGGACTCCTTGAGTACTCCATGATGTGGTAAGTACGTTGACTGATTGCTCGTTGTGGAGCATGTCACCAGCGTCATATGTTTCAGGTCTTCGTATTCTGTCATGAAGCTGCGATACAGATTGCCGAATCGAGGGTCCTGGACGCATCGCCTCTCCATCGTTGTGAGAAGCCGCTCGGCTGGTTTGCGGGTTTCGCGGAGTGCAGTGATTGGTGAGGAGAACGGCAGCTTCACCACGTATCGTCCTGAAGAGGTGCGAGTGTGCGTGTGCACGAAGAAGTCCTCGCATTGCTGCTCTTCGGCGGAGAGTGTCGTGACTGCGTTGGGCTCCCGTTCCTGTTCCCAAAACTGCTGCACCAGCTCGAATAGCTCGTGATCGGCAGTGCACTGGAATGTGCGACGGTGCTCTTCTGCGGATGCGACGCCGGAGCCTCCAGAGAGGATCCATCCTAGCGATGTCTTCTGCGCGATTGGCATCTGAGGTCCACCCTTGCGTAGACCCTCTTCAAGAATTAAGGAGCACACCTCCGCTCCCAGGAGTAGCTCGGCTGGATCGTTCTCGCGAAATTGAGGATCCGCCAGTTGGAGTCCTCGAATATGCGGCCAATCTTCTGGTGTGCTGGACGTGGAGCCTTGAAGAAGTGACAGGCGTGGCAGTATGAACGCAATCACGGAGAGCCGGGCGTTCGTGATGTCCGAAGTGAGGTGCAGCGTGACCTTGCCACGCGTTGATCCTGGTCGTGCGCCTCCGATCCCAAAGATGGCCATGTCGGTGCGTGATCGAGGCAGGTTCAGTCGTTGCACCAGTGCTTCAGAAACGATCGACACCTCTGATCCCTGATCGATCAGTGCTCGGACGTCGTGCGGTGCTCCATGGCGATCGGCTACGTTCACCCGAGCAGTGGCGAGGAGTACAGCCTTCTGCTCCTTGGCTTTGTGCAGTGCGGCGAGTGAAGTGGCTTCTGGTGTTTGTGCGGTGACCGTGCTGTATGCGTCGTGCAGTGAAGTGTGATGACGTGCCTTGCATGTGTAGCAGTTCTTCTTCGACTGACATTTTGTAAGATAATGATTTCCGAGGCAGTTGAAACACAGTCTGTGCGTCTCAACGAAGGCCTTTCGATCTGCCGCGGATTTCGTCTTAAATTCGCGACACGTCATCAGATGGTGCTTCTCATGGCACAGTGCGCATTGTGGAAGGTCAGTTCCGTGCTTCGCAACATGTGTCTTCGCCGTTCGTGAAGACTCTCCGAAGTTCTTCTTGAGAGTCTTCGGATGCACGGCGTTAAGTGTGAACATCCGTCGCGTCATGAACTCCAAAAGTGTTTCGTGCGATGGTGACTTGTTGGAGTCGGATATGGAATTTTCCCATTCCATTCGAGTGTGTGCGTCGAATTGCTCGACGATAAGATAGTTTAGGAGGTCCATTCCGTGAGATTCAATGGGACGACCTATACTCTCCTGTGCGTTGACGACTGTGACGGCAGCGTTGTGGATGCGATGCAGTTCGTCAGCAGTTCCGTTCTTCATTCTCGGCACGGCGGTGAATGCGGCGAAGTTGCATCGGATGAGTTCTCTCTCATTTTCGTAGTGTTTGCACAGTATCGTCCATGCACGTTCGTAGTTGTCTCCTGTCACCGGTAATGAACTTATCAATTTTTCAGCCTGTCCGTTCAAACTCGACCGAAGATGATGCAGGCGTTCGATGTTAGAGATGGTGGCGTTATCACCGACGACAGACAGGAAGAGATCTCGGAAGGTTGGCCACTCGGAGTAAGCTCCCGAAAACTGCGGAATCCTGACTCGAGGTAATGCGGTTCGAGGAGCGGCTTCGTTTAGCTTGACGGTTTCCGAGGCTGACCGAATGCGTTCAGCGTAGCCGTCCAGGATGCTCCTTTGCTGTACGTACGTATTTTCAGTCAAATCATGGAGTCCTGAAGTAACGTAATCACTTTCTCTGAACTTATCTTTCAAGGCAATACGCAGCTGATCGTGCTGGATGACGAACTTATCCCAGGCTTGATCAAGAAGTCTGATGCGGGTAGTTACGGCACTGGATGTGATGTTAGGAGCGCCCATCTTCTTCAGGTATTCGACCGAGCGTGAGATTCGAACTTGGATCTCACGCTGACTATCTAATAATATAGCGGCATCCATGATGTGACACTTACAGTATTTCTTTTTCAGGCACTTCACTCTCGTCTTCAAGAATGTTCACACGCGTGCCGGCGCGACGAACTGATAAAATATCCGGCTCGAAGGACCAAAATGTTATGTTTGCGCGAACGCGAGAAGGAGAGCGCGTATTAGAAGGCCGATAGAAATCATTCACTCTTTAATAATTAACACAGAATTTACTTTCACAATTTAACGATACAGTAATTTTACAAAGTTCCAATAGATAAGCCGAGATCGATTTCCAAGTGAGTGTGCGGTAATAATTGCGGTAATAATTGCGGTAATTTATAAGCGGTTTAATAGCGGTTGTACGTACTGAGACTCGAGAGACTAGCCGCCCAATTTTGGTGGGCGCTTCTTTTATCGGTGCGGTACTGAAGCCCCACTAATTTTTACTTCACCAATTAATTTCGGTTATTTAAAAATGTTCGAAGGTGACGCGAGGGCGCCTGTCTTTATTGGAGGCCCCGTAATTTACGCGAAACAAGCACGCACCTGACATGCGCGAAATGCTCGATAGCGAGATCGATTGGCTTTCGGAAGCCACGTGATCGAACGGCGCATGTCTATTACATTGATAATCAATGCGGTGATCGTTGCTTTCGGTTAAGCAATGTTGTTGTTATTGACAGCTTGTTAAAATAATCCTGATTTATCGCCTACTTGTTTATATCGGGCGAGCCTTTTTTCCGCGGTTTTTTCGCATATTCATCGGAAGAAAATATCGATTTTTAGACAGAAAAATACAGACTGAAATAATTATATTAATTTCTTCTCAATTTCGAACAACCCTCTTTACGGACGAAAGAACCTTCCCAGACACAAAGATCGAACCCTCAATTGACGAATTACCTAATTCTTTTGATTTTGACGACATTTTCGAATCATCATTATTCACAGAACTGTGCGATTTAGTATCGGAAATAGAGGAGGAAATTCTTAGAAGAACAGTGTCCTGATATCTTATTTAAAATAAATCAATATGCTAGTTATTTAAATTTTTGAATCATTTTACAAATGTCATCAGAATTTACTATTAAAGAAAATCGGAAATTAATTAACGAAGAAATTCATACAATAATAAGTATAATTATCGCCCTACTAACAGACGTTTTAGAGGGAAACATCGATTTAGACCAATTTCTCGTCTGTTTAGGTAACATTCCTGATTCATTGCACACGATAAACGCGAAATTCCACGAAAACCGATAACTCACGTAATTCAAATAATTGTTTAATAATAAGACCCCATGAGGGATTCTCAAGATCTCAGATTTGAGAAATATATAATATTTTTGTTATTGAATTTATTAATTAACAACTATTTAAATGCGGAAATTACAGTCGATCAATTGATAAATTTATTAGATAGTCTAGAAAGAATTGCTAGTAGAAATCCTTTTCTCACTAGTAACTAGAATTCCCCATCCCCAACGTCCCAATACTCGGTCCCTAGTTCCACAGTATAGTCCGTGCTCTCGGCGTCCCCTGAGGTATAGCCGGTGTAAGCAGGTTGCCTCATAAAAAATAGAGAGCGCCCCATTTCTTCTAGCCTAGGAATAGAGAGAGTAGGAAGGTCACTAGGACGTGACACCCCATAATAGCTGCCGCTCTCCTCATCCTTTTTTCACCTGCCCCTCTTGTCCTCCATTCCTCTGTAGTCTGTATCCCAGATATGTAAATTCCTTCATTTCCTCTATTTTCTCTCCTTTCCATCTCCACTTCTTTTTCTTCCATCTTCCGCCCTTTCTCCTAAACCTCATTATCTTCGTCTTCGCGTTTAATTCCAATCTCTTTTTATAAAAATACTCTTCTAATCTTTCTATCATACTTTTCAGTTCTTCTTCCTCCTCTACCAACAACACCATATCCGCGTACGTCAATGTATATATCCTTTTCTCTCCTATTCTCACTTCTCCCCTTCTCACCTTCCTCATTTTTTCCTCTAAATCTGCTATTAGAATGTTAAATAGCATTGGGCTTAATGGGCAACCCTGCCTTACGCCTTCCTCTCCAAAATTTCTCTCCAACTTTCTCCTTTATCTTTATCCTGCAAGTTGTCTCCCTCATCACCTCCTCTACCCTTCTTCTTAATCCTTTCCTTATTCCTCTCTCTTTTATTGCCTCCATTAACTTATCCCTGTCCACTGAATCAAATGCGGCCCTCAAGTTTACGAACATCGCTGTCAACCTTCCATCTTTTCTTTCCAATTGCCTATTAATTAAGTAATTCATAACGTAGATGTGTCTATCGTACCCATTCTTCTCCTAAACCCCATCTAATTTTCCGGCACTATTCCTTTTTCCTCTACTCTACCTCTTTCGTAATTTCGTAAAATTTCGTAAAATTTTGATGCCACCAGGAATAGGAGTTCCTTTATAGTAATATTTCCGTTGGTAACACACCAAATCTTTTGACACCCAGGTTTTCTCAGTCTTGAGAGCTAACCCTATATCTTGAAATGCAAGTTATAATCTCAACTTGATCTGAGATATCATGGTTGACAGGCCCTTGTCCTTAAGCAACAACACCTGATTATCCCCAGAAGCAGTTAGTCTATGATCAAGGTCCATCAAGTGCATTACATTTCTTATTACAATTATGGTTATTATTGTCCATAGCTTTTGGAGAATTCCCTGATTTCCCCCTGCATGGGTATCCCATGTGGTGAAAGATCCGGGGAACCCAGGTGGGGTGAATTTATTGGCTGAAATTAATTGGCTATCTGTGAAGATATTTATTAGTATCTAAAATGGTTAACACCAAATAAGTCACATAGGATATTGATCAAGTGAGCTTGTTGATATGATCGAAATGTGTAATTCCATTACTGTAAATCATGATGGAAAACTATCCATACATGTGTATCATATTCTGGAAGAGTAGACAGTATATCCATTTTGTGCTTCAGTTCTGATCCTGATAGAGTCATTGACTGTTGTTTAAATAAGGGAAGAATTTGTTCGCCAAGATTTCTCTCACAGGCTGAGGCCATCATCCTACACTCAAATGTTAAAATGGAAAATACTCTTGCTTCAATTTTTAGCTTTTTCTCCTTAGCCATTAGTTGAATAACAGCCCAATTTGTTGGGATAAATCCTTGTTCCTCAACTATTTTTTAGAACTCTAATATCTATAACAGGCCTAGCTAGGATCTCTGAAATCAGTCGTGTGTTCTCTTGAGTATATGGTTTTTTTAGGTTCATCATATCCAATGCATTCCATGCAAATAACTGATATATGTTGGCTAAATGAGGGATAATGGCTTTGTCGTCCAACAAGTCACTAATTTGAGGAAAATAATTGAAATCATGATTTTTATCAAATTCTAAATTGTACCAAGCATCATTTGGTATTTTGTATTATTCTCTTCTTGACCCTGGTCTCCCTTTGTCTATTAATTTACAGATTCTATCATCAAGTCTCCAGTTTCTTAATACTTTAGGAAGTATTTTGTGTTTTTCATAGTGAGCAACAAAGTATTCTCTCTTGAAATTAGCTGCTATATCCCGTACTGCTTGTTCTTGTGATACCCTAATGGATGTCCCATAGGTATGCATCTTTTTAAGTCCACCCTCTATAGATACTATCCTGCAACTGATGTCGACAGTGAAACTTTGTATTCTTGAGATCATTCTAACAATAAAGATGATTTTAAAATTTTCAATGATTTTCAATATTTTCTCCATTTATAAATTTTTTGCGATATTCTAATATATATATATATATATATATATATATATATATATACAGGGTGCCCTAAAAAAATCGAAACACTGAACAATCTCGAAAAGTATACGTTTTACAGAAAAAAGTTTCAGACAAAAATTGTAGGAAAAAAAATCTATTTACTAATCTTATCAATTTGACCTTAGACGGCGTTACCAAGATCAGAATAAGATTATCTCGAATTTCTTAGATGGAATCCTATATTTTTTATTACATATTCTTGTAGCTTATCTCGAGAGTTTTCCAAAACACTATAATAAAATTATTTTTTATTGAGTGCTCTTTGAGTTATAAAGATTAGAAGCTAACAATTTTTTGACAAAATGTTAAATATCTTTGTAAAATATTCCATTTTTGGTTATCATACCTACTTTCTTGCACAGTATAATAAGATCAATAAAAAAAACAGATAATTGTTAAAAAAAATATGTAATATTCAATTTTCAGCAAGCATACTTTTCTATAAGCAACTGTGTTTTTTTACACCAATTCGTTGGTTTCATTATTCCGCGTGCAAAAAAGATATGATTACCAAAAATGGAATATTTTACAAAGATATTTTACATTATATGTCAAAAAGTTGTTAGTCTTTGTAACTCAAAGAGTACTCCATGAAAAATAATTTTATTAGTGTTTTGGAAAGGTCTCTAGATAAGCTACAAAAATATGTAATAAAAAATCTAGGATTCCATCTAAGAAATTCAAAGTGACCTTTTTCTGACCTTGGTAACGCAATCCAAGGTCAAACTGATAAGATCAATTAATAGATTTTTTACAACTTTTGTCTGAAACTTTTTTCTGTAAAACGTATACTTTTCGAGATTTTTCAGTGTTCCGATCTTTTTGAGACATCCTGTATATGTATATATACACATATATACATATATATATCGATTTATTTAGCAATCTGTTTGTCCATTTATCAAACTATCTATCGATTTACCTATCTATCTATCTATCTATCTATCTATCTATCTATCTATCTATCTATCTATTTATCTATCTATCTATCTATCTATCTATCTATCTATCTATCTATCTATCTATATGTCTGTCTATCTATCTACCTATTTATCTATCTATCGATCTATCTGTCTCTATCTCTCTCTCTATTTTCTCTCTTCTACATTGCATTCTTTCATACATGCACACGTATATAATAATTTTTTAAAAATAATCTACATTACCAAAATAAAAATAATTAAATTTATAATCTAAAAATATATAAAAATCTTTTATGAATATAATT